GCACTCAGTTTTTTTTTCAGATTCTGGCTATTTTAAAGAGTGCTGCAATGAACAAACAAGTGCAGATGTCACATCGACTACACATTTTTGCCTCTCTGGGATATATTCCCAGGAGTGATATTGCTGGGTCAAATGGAGTTCTATTTCTAATTTTTTGAGAATCGTCCATACTGTTTTCCAGAAGGACTGAACCAATCAGCATTCCCATCAGCAGTGAAGGAGGGTCCCTTTCTCGCCACGTCCGCGCCAGCACCAGTTGCTTTTATTCTTTTGGATGTGGGCCAGACTCTGAGGTGTGAGATGGTATCTCATTGTGGTTTTGATCTGCATATCCCTGATGATTAACGATGTAGAGCATTTTCTCATGTGCCTTTTTGCCATTCAGATTTCTTCTTTGAGAAAGTTTCTATTCATTTCATCGCCCCATTTTTTTATGGGGTTGGATGTTTTCTTCTTGTGGAGTTCAACCAGTACTTTGTATATCCTTGATATCAACCCCTTGTCGGATGTGAATTCGGCGAATATCCTTTCCCATTCTGTAGACTGTCTTTGTATTTTGGTCACTGTTTCTTTGGAAGTGCAGAAGCTTCTTAGTTTAAGATTGTCCCATTTTTCTATCTCTGTTTTCACTTGCTTGGCCAGTGGCGTGACATCTTTGAAGATACCATTAGTTTCAGTGTCATGGAGGGTTTTGCCAACTTTTTCTTCAATGTGCCTTATGGATTCCGGTCTGATGTTGTCTTTAATCCACTTTGATCTTACTTTTGTACATGGAGTTAGGCAGAGATCTGAGCCCACTTTTTTGCAGGTAGCCATTCAGTTTTGCCAGCACAATTTGTTAAAGAGGCTTTCCTTTCTCCACTTCACTTTTCTTGCGCCCTTATCAAAGATTAGATGATCATATGCTTGGGGGGAGATGTCAGTATATTCAACGCTATTCCATTGCTCTACAGCTCTGCCTTTGTTCCAGTACCATGCTGTTTTAATTATTACTGTTTTGTAGTAGAGTTTGAAGTTAGGGAGTTTGATTCCTCCCATTTTCCCCCCCAAGAATTGCTTTAGCTATTCGTGGGGGCTTATTGTTCCATACGAATTTCAGGAGTGTTTGCTCCATTTCTTTGAAGAATGTCATGGGTGTCCTTATAGGGATTGCAATGAATTTGTACAATGCTTTGGGAAGTATTGCCATTTTGACAATGTTAATTCTCCTGACCCATGAGCAGGGGATATCTTTTCATTTTCTCATGTCCTCTTTTATTTTGCTATGGTAAATTTACTCCTGCCTCTGTGCTCAGGGATCACTCCTGGCAGGCTTGGAGGACCTTATGCGGTGCCAGGGATCGAATGTTTGTTGGCTGCGTGCAAGGCGAGCTCCCTCCCCATTGTCTATTGCTCCGGCCCCCAACCATTGCCTCTCACTGCTTAGAAATTAGTCCCATCATGTCAGGGAGATACACAATGGGTTCTTCCCAAAGTGGAAGCACCAAAACTTGACCAGGGACTGTGGACTCAGCCCCATCTAGCTTGACTTAGTGGGGCCAGAGCGGTAGTACAGGAGATAGGGTGTTTGCCTTGCACCCTGCCGACCCAGATTCAATCCCCGGCATCCCATATGGTCCCCCAAGCACCATCAGGAGTTATTTTGAGTGCATGAGCCAAGAGTAACCCCTGAGAATCGCTGGCTGTGACCAAAAAAGAAAAATAAAAGACCCCACCTCTGGAGCCTGGCACACACTGGGGCCAGCAGGGCAGGGCAGTGAGGAGCTCCTGAGAACGAGGAGAAACGTGAATACAACTTGGCAAGCACCTGATGCTCTAATCCACAGCCCAGCCTGTGAACAGAAATAGCCCAGAAAAACCCTGCTCTGGAGTAGAGAAAGCTTCTGAACCAGCCACCTGAAGATGCTTCTTCTCTCTGCAACCTGCATCTTTTTGTGGCCTCCACCCTTGGCATGTTGTATTTATTCCTTGTTTTCTGTGGACACCTCTTCATTGGGCATTAAAAGTACCAATTCCTTGAACACTTAAAAACATTTCTCAGAGCCAAGACTGTAAATGGGACCCAGTAAACTGATTGTCACTAGAAATGCAAAAAGTTTGGGGGGTAACAGGAAGGGAAGGGAAGAAGACTGAGTAAAGCAGCTAAATGGACCAAGGACATATGATCAGGGTCAGAGCAAGAGCACAGCAGGTAGGGCGCTGACCCAGGTTTAATCCCCAGCATACCATATGGTTCCCCAGGCACTGTTAGGAGTGATTCCTGAGTGCCAGGAGTAACCCCTGAGCACTGGGAGGTGTGGCCTAAAAATAAGAGAGAGAGAGAATACTAGGAAATTAAATTTAAATGTGGGGAACCACTTATCAACTCTTTCTTCAGGAGACCATCGTGAGCTTGATTTAAAACCTGACATGGTTATGAGAGGAAAGTAAAATAACAGACTGCCCTTACACCCGCGTGAGTGCAGAGATTCTAAATGAATCTAATTTTGTTATAGTAAACATATGTGCAGTATATCATGACAAATTTAACTGAATTCTAGGAATGCAATCATTGTTTTAACATGGCAAAAATTAAACAATGTATGATGATGGAAAGAAAAGGATCAACGTTAATGAATGTGTGCTGAAAATACATCTCATGCAATCTAATAACATTCATTTTTAAAAAAAAGAATAAAGCTCTTATAAATGGAAACTTCTGTAGTCAGATTTTTTTCAATGCTTTTAAAATAGATGGTTTTGAAACCAGTCCCCTGTACAATCGTTTAGGGAAGTGATTAGGTCATAAATCCTGACCATGATTATACCACCACTCTTATGAGTGGGAATTGGGCCCTTTATAAAAGATTCTATTCTTTCTGTCATGTAAGGTAAAATCAAAAAGAAAGCTGTCTATGACCAGGCTGATCAGTCAGCAGACACAGAACCTACAGCACCATAAACTTGAACTTCCCAGCTGCTAGAACAGTGGAAATAGAATAAATTCATGTTGTTTAAAAGACACCCATTATATGTTATTGTTATAGATGGAGCCATATCCCCCAAACAGAGATGTTCTAATGATCTAATTAATGATTTGTGGTATAGTCATACTATGGTGTACTATAAAACAATGAAAATGAGCAAAATACAGCAAGACAGTACATGTCATTTCACAAGAATAATTATGAGAAAAAGAGGCAGACTCAATAGCAGGGAGGCAGCTGCAGGTACAGGGGATTGGGGGGAAGGAAGCAGACTCAGAAGAGCACTAGGTATAGGAGCTCGAGCAATAGTACGGCAGGTAGGGAGTTTGCCTTGCTTGTGGCTGACCTGGAAACAGGAGTAATTCCTGAGCATCACCAGACATGGCCCCCAAACAACAACAACAGCAAAATAATAATAATAAAATACAAGGTATATCATCCCTTTAATATAATACCAAACACAGAAGAATTCACAATAATCCCATTTATATAGTTCAAAAAAAAGCAAACTAATAATGTATTTAAAAAGTGAAGATTGCAGACTGAGAAGTGTGGTAGGAGGGAAACTGGTAGCATTGGTTTTGGGAAATGAACACTGGTGTTGGGTTGGGTGTTGTTTGATTGAAACCCAGTTATGAACAGCTTTGTTACTGTGTGTCTCATGGTGATTCAATAAAAGGGGGAAACATTTTAATCTTTGTAGAAAAAAAAGAGCTGTAAAAAATAAAAGAGTTGATTTGTTAATAGCAGAGAGGTAGGGCATTTGCCTTGAACGTGGCCAGCCCGGCCGACCCGGGTTCAATTCCTCTGCCCCTCTCGGAGAGCAGAGCAAGCTACCGAGAGTATCTTGCCCGCACAGCAAAGCCTGGCAAGCTACCTGTGACGTATTCGATATGCCAAACACAGTAACAAGTCTTACAATGGAGACATTACTGGGCCTGCTCAAGCAAAATTGATGAACAACGGGAGGACAGTGCAGTTCTACTTTTTAAAACTCCTATAAACATTATATGACCAAAACCAACATTAACAACTTTGTAACTGTATCTCACAGTGATTCCATTTTTTAAGAATTCTATATGGGTTCTGGAGAGACAGCGCAGTAGGTAGGGTGCTTGCCTTGCATGTGGCTGACCCAGACTCAATTTCTGGCACCACATGTGGTCCCCTGAGCCCCACTAGGAGTGATCCCTGAGTGCAGTCAGGCATAAACCTTGACCACCAAGGAATGTGGCCCCAAAATAAACAAAAAATATCCTATAGAAGGCTGGAGAGCCAGTAGCTCAGGCACTGGCCTTGCTTGTGGCTGACCTGAGTTCAATCCCTGGAACCACACCTGGTCCCTCCAGCACTTCTAGGAGTGATCACCGAGCACAGAGCCAAGAGTCATTTCTGAGCACAGCTAAGGAGAAAGCTCAAAGGACTGGAGCACACCCTTTGCATGCCAGGGGTGCACAGGGTCCCCTGAGGACCTCCAGGAGTAACTTGGAACAAACTGGGAGTATCTCCACCCCCCACCCTCCCAGAACCACTGGGCATGGCCCCAAACAGCAAAATTCAGGAGTGAAATAATGTTTTCCCCTCAATATACCCTTTTACCGAGGCTGGTCAAATTCTCCAAGAATCTGTATCTCCTTTAAGTGGTAAATACCTTCACTTAACCCAGGATTTGGGTGTCTGTCTCAAATGCTAAAACATGACTCCTTTACAACCATTTATTTTTTTGTTTGTTTTATTTTGTTTTGTTTTAGCTCTTTGGGATACACCCTGCAAGCACAGGCATTACTCCTAGCTCTGCACTCAGGAATTACTCTTGGCGTTGCTTGGGGGGACCATATGGGATGCTGGGAATCGAACCCGGGCCTCCCACGTGCAAGGCGAACGCCCTACCCACTGTGCTATCGCTCCAGCCCCCAACCATTTATTTTCCCACTGCCGAATCAGAGGCTAGCAATATGTTTTTGTTCAGTATGACCAATGGGACATAAGGCTGGGACGGGAAGCTGGGGGGAAGCAGCAAAGCTCGAGACGACTTCACGGTGCCTGGGCGTTGGCCTCAGCAGCAGGGGCAGCCTTGGTGGTGCTATCTGTGGTTGGGGTGGAATCCTCAGTCAGGGCCCTCTCCAGACTGGCAGGCAGGGAACTAATCAGCTTATCTCGGAAGTCCTGGCCCACAAACACGTAGACCAAGGGATTGAGGCAGCTATTGAAGAAGGCCAGGGCGCTCGTGGGGTGGACCAGCACGTCAAGGATCTTGTACCTGCCTTCGAACACTGTCTCCCTGAGCCAGATTGTGCCCAGGAGAGCGACCAGCTGGAAGGGAAACCAGCAGAGGAAGAAAGACGCCACGACAGCAGTGAGCAGCCGCAGGGGACGGCTAGACTTGATCATGCCTTTCCGATGGATCTTAGCTGCAATGAGTCCATAGCAGACAGCAACCACCGACATGGGCATGCTGAAGCCAATGACAAAACGGATGCTGCCCCGGGCTAGCAGCATGTGGAAGGCAAACTTGAGCATCTCCTCCGGGTTTCTGCTCCAAACCGAAAAGTTGAAGGTGCAGTATGTATTCCCCTTTCCATCCGAGACCGTGGTCACAAAGATGATAACTGGCATAGTCAGGATGAAGGCAAGAATCCAGGGCCCAAGGAGCAGTTTCCAAGCCCGGCCAACAGTACGGTGGTTTTGCGCCCAGACAGGGTGCCGGACACAGATGCAGCGGTCCAGCGCGATGAAGGCGATGAGGAAGACACTGCCAAAGAGGTTGATGTCCACCACAATATGAATCAACTTGCATAGGAACCAGCCAAAAGGCCACTTATCTTTCATGGCCTCGGAGACAATGAGGAAGGGGAGTGTGGCCGTGAAGGAGAAGTCGGCCAAGGCCAGGTTCAGATAACAGACGGTGGTGACAGTGCGTTGCATCCGGAAGCCAGTTACCCAGATCACAAGCCCATTGCCCACTACACCAAGGACAAAGGTGACCCCCAGCACCACCAGGGAGAAGATCCTCAGAGTAGTGAGGCCAGCAGGTTCAGACGTGGAGGCTGTCTCTTCCGAGCCATTCAGGAGGGCAGAAAGGTTGGACTCCATCCTGGCTGCACCTGAAACACCACAACAGTGGCCATTCCTCAGCAGTGGGACCTCCTCACAGCATCAGCTTTGCCTTCAACCAAGACACCAGCTCCCACCAGCAGGCCCCACGCCCACCAACACACCCTATTCCCACCAGCACACCCCACTCTGCAGATACCCCCACACCCACCACACACCCCAACACTGCAGACACACCCACGCCCACCAGCACACCCCCACACACCCCCACGCCCACCACCAGCACATCCCCACACTGCACACACCCCTACGCTCACCAGCACACCCCCACACTGCAGACACTCCACACCGTCCTGGATTCGAGCCTCAGCACCATTTGTGGTCCCCTGAGTCCTGCCACTTGTAAACCACCTCCAGCTGTGGCTCCCACATCAAAGAAAAAAACAACAAAAAGAATGAGAAGCCTGGAGCCAGAGACTTAGGCCAGTGGGCCGGACACCTGAACCAGCAAACCCAGACTCCATCCCCCAGCACCCCATATGGCCCCCGGAGCACCACAGGAGTGAGCCCTGAGCACAGAGCCAGGAGGAAGCCTCCCTGCCAGCCCCATTGTGTTAAAACTAAGCTTCAAAAAGTTGAAAATTCTCTTCCCCGAAGTTATTCCACCTCCTCAAGAGTCCCGGCACCAGACTCCCTGTTCACCCTTTCACCACAAGGCACCCACTGTCTCCCCTTCCCAGAAGAACAGGGCTGGAAGGTCCAGTGGTTTGTTGGACCTCAGAGGAGGAAGCAATACCCCAGTACCAGACTGGACAGAACCAGATCAAAAGTGGCTCTGAAGTGTGGCCTTTGGGGCTGTTGTGAGAATGCGGTGGGCAGGGCACTTGCCTTGCATGTAACAATCCCCCGGTGGTCCCCTGAGTCCCACCAGGAGTGATTCCTGAGCACAGAGCCAGGAGTAAGCCCTGAGCACTGCGTGTGGTTCCCTGAAAGAACCAAATGCTGTCTTTTCAGAGGGTATCCCAAGATTTCCCGGAGAGGACCACAGCCAGGCTGGAGTTGCTTTGTTGCCTTTCTCTCTCAGTGGCCCCTCCATCTGTTTTTCCTTCCTGCCTGCCCTGGTCACTGTCACAGGGACTCTGTTGGATGTTGCTCCATTCTCCTCAGTCTTGACCCCAGTATCATTGGGTCTGACTTCCTCCTTTGAAAGCAGAGCTTTTGTTTCTTTTCCATTTCGGGGAGGGGGTGGTGTGGGAGGAGCAGTGGGGCACCCCTGGCAGTGCTCACAGACTATTCCTGTGGTCAGGGGCCATAAGTAGGGGCCACTTGCCTGAACTGTATTTCCTGCCATGCTGGCTCATAGCAGTTTGATCATTGTATGACCGAGACTTAAACCCAAAAGCTTCGTGACTGTTCTCACGGTGATACAATCATTGTCACTGTTTTCCTGTTGTTCATCGATTTGCTCGAGCGGGCCCAGTAATGTCTCCATTTTTGAGACTTGTTGTTACTGTGTTCGGCATATTGAATACATCATGGGTAGCTGGCGAGGCTTTGCCGTGCAGGCGAGATACTCTCGGGCTTGCTGGGCTCTCCAAGAGAGGTGGAAGAATTGAACCCGGCTCAGCAGGGCCAGCTGCACGCAAGGCAAAACACCCTACCGCTGTGCTATCACTCCAGCCAGGTGATACAATAATTTTTTTTTAATTTTTAAAAAAAGAATCAAATGCTATCTTTTCAGGGGTGCCCCAAGATTTCCTGGAGAGACCACAGCCAGGTGGGAGTTGCTTTGTTGACTTCTGCTCTCTGTGATCCCTCCATCCATTCTTCCTTCCTGATTGCCTTGACCACTGTCACAGGGTCTCTGTTGGATGTTGCTTCATTCCCCTCAGCCTTGACCCCAGTATCACTGGACCTGACTTCTTTTGAAAGCAGAGTTTTTGCTTTTTTTCTCTATTTTGGCTGGGGGTGGGGGTTGTTGGGAGGAGCAGTGGGGCACTCCTAGCAGTGCTCAGGGGCTATTCTTGTCTCTGTGCAGTGGCCATGTGCAGTGGTCACCTGCCTGCACTGTCTTTCCCTCTGTGCTGTCTCAGAGTAGTTGTCTCCTGTGAGCTGTAGAATGTGTTGAAGAAGCTTTTCCACCTCTCCCCCACACCAAGCCAGTGTCCCTCTGCTCTGGTTTCAGACCTTGGGCATACTCCTGGCAGGGAGCAGGGGGCAGACTCTGAATGCTCGAGTGCACAGTGCCCTGGGTCCTAGCTGGCAGTAGCTAAGTAGTTCCTGCTCCTATCTCCTACAGAGTGCAGCTCGGGTGAGTTCTCCTGCATGACATCTCTAAGTGTCAGATGACGCTGTGGCAGAATGGGAGTGAGTCTGTGGTGAAAGTTGATTTCTAGGGGAGATTCCAAGCGGGACAGACATGCAGAGGGCTGTCATTCATGACTGGGAGCTCTTCAGCAGAATCTGAGCTGTGTCCTAAAAAGCAATGCCAGGCTATGCATCGTCGAAGCTCAATGCCAGGGCATAACCATGTACAGAGAGAGGTCACTACACTATTTCTAAACATGTTCACTCTGTCAAGAGTTTTGCATATGCTCTCTCGCTCTCTTTCTCTCTGTGGTTTTGGGGCTACATCTGGGGGTATACATTGCTCACTCTTGGCTCTGAACTCAGGGATCACTCCTGATAATTCTCAGGGGACTATATGGGATGCCGGGAATCAAATTCCTGTTGGCCACATGCAAGGCAAGTTTCCTGCCCACTGAGCCCTCTCTCCAGCCTCAGAGAGCCTGAGCACCCGTACCTCCCATGACATTTGAGGAAGATGCAGCTGCAACCATGCATAGAGCATGAAGTCCACCCCTGTGGCATGGCAGACGTGGGTGGTCTCCGTTATAAGGCAGGCAGCCCTTCTCAGGTGAGGAAATCATGAACTGATGAGGCACAATAACTGTGTCCGAGATAGAGCCGACATGAGCCAGATCCCCCAGCAACCAGCTGTTCCCTCTCCCCACCACGAACTTCCTCAACATCCAGGTCTTTACTACAGACTCTGCTCCTGCTGAGCACCCCAAAGAGCTGAAGGGCCCAGTCGTCTTTAAGGAACTGGTTTTAAAACCACAAAGGGGGCTGATGAAGCAATTTCTGGGGAAAGAAATTATGAAGTAAGATTGTAAAACCCTTGCGCTGTCCCCACGGTGGGCACGGGAGAGAATCCCCTCAGACCTTCCTGGTGCCCACAGGAATCCTCGCAGACCTTCCTGGCTGCTCTGACAAGCATCTAACTTGGGCCAGTGATTACACATTTTACCATATCTAATGGCAATGTCCTACCCCTGAGATGCTCATGCCATGGGAGAAACCAGCAGGAAAAGTGACTTGCCCATGTCACAGTTATTTTAAAGGGTGACCACAGATTTCATTTCCTTTGGTGGGGCACGAAGGACAGCCAAATCTGGCGGTGCTCAGCACTTACTGCTGGCTCTGTATTCAGGGGTCACTCCCTGGAGGGACTTGGACCCTGTGGGGTGCCAGGGATGGAGCCCAGGTCATCCGCATGCAGGACAATTGCCCTCCCTGTGGCTCTGGCCCCTTACCACAGATTTCAAGCAGAAACTCAGTCTGTCTGGGTCACTCACATATTCCCATTTCCAATTTTTGGAACAATTGTTTCCGTTACCTCCTCCCCCCACTCCCTTTCCCTCTCTCATTCTCAGCTGAGGCCTCGCATCATATTTCAAGGAGCAAGTGAGAACAATCAGAACTTCCCTGGGTTTTCTGGTCTGTTTGTGGAGAGTGGGGGGCACATCCAGGATGTTGCCCAGGTTTGTTCATGGTGGTGCCCAGAGGACCTGCCAACTGACCTCTCAGACTAGCGGACCATCACTTTCACTCCCTGGAACTGTTTTAGCCTTTCCTCTCCAAAACCGTCCAATCCACCTGAACCCGCGAGAGTGAAGAAAGTTTCCTGTTGATTCTGCTTCCTGTTGCAAGACAAACACGCTACCTGCTATACTACCTCTCTAGTCTTGTGACCTCCAACTCCTACAAAATCACAGAAATTATTGCTAACAATACAGTAATTCTACTAACCTGTGTGTCTAACCCAATGTGCCATAAAGAATATTTGAGGACTGGAGAGACAGTCCACCTAATCCAGGTTTGATAGCCGGCACCCCATTTGGCCCCTGAGCCCCACCAGGAGTGATCCCTGAGCACAGAGCCAGAAGTCAGCCCTGAGCACTGCTGGGTGTTCTCCCCCATTCTCCCTTCAAAAATAAAATCATTTGAACAAGGAGCCAATATAAAATGTTTGCTGAGCTATCTCACATCCATTTGGCCTGCCGGGCCATTTTATACCTAACAGCCCTTCTCTGCCTGGACTGGCAAAATCTCAGAAAGGGGCTCATGCAGACTCTGCAGATACCCCAACTCTCAAGGGTGCGAGATCTCTGCCACCGCATCCAGTCATACATCCCCAAAGGTGCAGCACCAACTTACCACCAGCCGACTCCCTCTCCTGTCGCTTGTTCTTGTTTCCTGTTTGGTAACTCCGAGGAAGGGCCAGGCTGTGCTCTTAATGTAGGACGAAGGGGAGGAACAAGGAGTTGAGACCAATCAGAAATCAGAAGTTTCAGAGCCTATTAAGGTCCCCGCAGGGACTCCGGAACTGTTCTTGGCACACTTTCCTCCAAAACTCAGGCCTGGCAGTCTCCTGACTTAGGCTGGGGTTGAGTCCTCCAATGGACCAAGGCCTGGAATCGGGGTGCCCAGGCACTCTCCTTCCAGAGACGCGAGAAGATGAAACAATGAGAGGACTTTGAATGAAGGGACAGAGATTATAGTTGAATAAACCTGCTCTTGGGCCAAGAGACAGCATGGAATGGAGGGCACTTGCACTCGGCCAACCCAGGTTCCATCCCCGGCAACCCATAGGGTCCCTCAGGCCCGCCAGGAGTAATCCCTGAGTGCAGATCTAGGAGTCAGTTCTGAGCACTGCCAGGTGTGGCACAGAAACAAAAAAAGAACAGTGGGGTAGG